AAAAAAAAAAAAAAAAAAAGAAAATAAAAAAAGAAAAATTAGCCAAGTGTTGTGGTGGGCACCTGTAGCCTCAGCTACTCAGGAAGGTAAGGCAGGAGAACCACTTGAGCCCAGGAGTTTGAGGTTGCTGTGAGCTAGGATGAGCCATGACACTCTAGCCTGGGTGACAGAACAAGACTCCGTCCTCATAAAAAAGAGAAAAAAAGAATTCATTAAAAATCTGATAATTAAGAACCCGTGAGGTGCCTCACACCTGTAATCCTAGCACTCTGGGAGGTCGAGGTGGGCAGATCGCCTGAGCTCAGAAATTGAAGACCAGTCTGAGCAGGAGCCAAGACCCCATCTCTACTAAAACTAGAAATACTTCTAGCCAGGCATTGTGGCGGGCACTTGTAGTCTCACAGAGTGAGATTCTTGTCTCTATAAAAAAAAAAGTTCTAAAAAAATCTGGTACTTGAAGATTTGCACAAAGTAATCATAAATTACTTCAAGACACCCAAACAGAATTTCAAGAAATAACTCCATTTCCAAGCCACTTATGAGGGCTTCTATTTTGGGGGTGGGGTGGGGTGTAAAGCTGCTATTAATCCAGTATTATGCCCTTTAGATCAATATATAATTAACTGAAGTTTTATACGTAGAGCTCTTTCTCAAAGTAAAAGTGCCTCACAGTTTGAGCCTACCTCTTCCTCAGGTGAAAGCTTGATTTTTCCATCTCGGACAGGAAAGCCACTGCCAAATTCCTTTGAGGCAATATCAGCTCCGTATTCTACGGTGACATCCTCTTCAATAGTGCTTACTAGTCTCCAAAATTCTTTCTCAACCAGTTCCGTGGGAACCATCTGGGAATACAATAAGAAAAGAAAAAATGAGTTTCCTCACAAACTTGTGACCAATCTGACTAGATAATTTCAGTGATGGGAAATCACAGACTAAGAAAAAATTGGGTCCATAATGTTCAGTAATTAATCCCAGACAATTCTACAAACTTCTATTTCCTGAGAGGAATTTTGTAAGAATCCTAATTAAGAATTCATGTGCTTCTATCACCAACCTGGCACAATCATAAAAAGGAGGCAAGAAAAGTAAAACAATGATATTTTGGAATCCAGGGGTATTTTTTTGTTTCAAGAAACGTGTTATCAATGGTAACAATAGTTAATTATGCTTGAATATGTAAAGTACAGTATAATTCACAAATGTATAGTAATAATGGTTGATTAGGGGGTGGCACCTGCGGCTCAGTGAGTAGGGCGCCAGCCCCATATACTGGGAGAAGTGGGTTCAAACCTGGCCCCAGCCAAACTTCAACAACAAAAAAATAGCCAGGTATTGTGTCAGGCGCCTACAGTCCCAGCTCCTCAGGAGGCTAAAGCAAGAGAATCACCTAAGCCCAAGAGTTGGAGGGTGCTGTGAGCTGTTGATGCCGTGGCACTCTACCAAGGGCGACAAAGTAAGACTCTGTCTCTTAAAAAAAATAAATAAATAAAAATAATGGTTTATTATGTTTGAACAATGCTTTATACTTTTAGAGATGCTTTCAAATACATTATTTGAGTCCACCCTCTCATTCTTTTCACTAGACCTGACTCAGAGTAAGGTAGGTAGGCAACCAAGATGAAAAAGACAGTGTAAGGAAGAGAGGAATTACTTTGCAGCAGTACACCCTAGAATAAAGAATCTCCAAAAGTGTCAAAGATATGTTGTAAATTTGGTTAAGTCCAGAGGCAGAAAACCTGAATGTCTATTCCCACCTTCTAATATTTCATCAAAATAAAAAGTCTGCCACAAACAGAAGAGGTCATAGGCAAGTCAGCAGGATTGATAAAGCAAACATATAGGGAAATATTATAACGCATGAGGAGTCAAAGAACTGAAAATTCACATTTAGTATAAACTTAAGACCATTAAATAAGCAAACATTTGAAGCTGGGGAAAAACAGGTTCACTCATATATTGTTGGGACCTCATAAACTGAGACAGCTACTGGGGTACAATGAGAGATACACCCTTACCTGACCAGTAGTCCCAGGAAAACTATCCAACGTAATAGTTCCACATGCATGAAATATTTGCTGTAGTACTTTGTTAGGAGAAAAACTACAGCCTAAATATTCAGAATTATTGTAGTAAATCATTTAATTTTGCTGTACTCATTTAATGGGATATTAAATGCTGAATGATACTTGCTCTATGTATCTAAGAGAATTAAAAATGGACTTGTTCTTGACCTACAGAGAATAGAAAAAAGGGAAAAAGACCCTAACTATGAAATTTCTTAAAAAGTTATGATTACATAACGATATATAACATAAATGTATTTTTTTTTGAGACAGAGCCTCAAGCTGTTACCCTGTGTAGAGTGCTGTGACATCACAGCTTACAGCAACCTCCAACTCCTGGACTCAAGGGATTCTCCTGCCCCCACCTCCCAAGTAGCTGGTCCACGGACCACAGGTGCCTGCCATAACACCCAGCTATTTTTTGATTGCAGCCGTCATTGTTATTTGGTGGGCCTGGGTTGGATTCGAACCCGCCAGGTCAGGTTAATATGGCTAGCGCCTTAGCCACTTGAGCCACAGGCACCAGGCCTATAAATGTATTCTTAATGCATAGCACACACCAGTCACTGAACTAATCATTGAAGTTTTCTTTAAATTATATTCTTTGGGAGTGGCGCCTGTGGCTCAAATGAGTAGGGTGCCGGGGGTCATGACGCCATGTGCCAGACGTGGTGGGTTCAAACCCGACCCGGGCCAAAAAAGAAAACTGCCAAAAAAAAAAAAAAATTATATTTGTTGGGCTGAAAGGAATGCTGGTTATTTTCTTTATTGGTAATGTTACTGTAAAATTTATGCAGGAGAGGTATCTTTAGAGAAATCCTTAAAGGAAAAAGTAGAATGCATCTAAAAGTACTATAGAACTTTAATCCACTCAACAAATTTAAGGTTGTCCTGTATGATTAACAACTGCCAGATGAGACCTCAACTCAAATATGTCCTCCAAAAGTTATTAAAATCCTGAATGAAAGCAGTATACATGTACATACATGAACTGGCATGTTGAAGTAATCAGATTTGAATGCATCTGCCATTTCCCCAAAAGTACGGAGGGTATAGTCCCTGGCTGCTTGCTCAAAGCCAAATGCTTCTTGTGGCTTACTACATTCCTGAAAATAAAAAAGACAATTATGTTCTAGGTGACATTTGAAAATGCCAAGCATATTTGGTCAATCATCAAACAGGCTAAGAAAAAGGTTTTAATTTATTTATTTTACTTCTATGCGTGTATATATTAGAAAAATTAGTCTGCCTAAGAAATGGGGTTATTCTACTAAACAAATGAAATAAATGTTATTTGCTAATGAGCAAAGGAAATATCTATTTTTTCAAAGTCTTTTAATTTTTATTACTCAAAAAACCCCCATCTTCTTATTTAGCTTTCTGGCCTTGTGCTTATGCCTTCAACACTTTCACAATTTTTGCTCCTTGATAAAGAAAGCAGGCTTGATCCTGTCACCAACACATTTATCACACATGGTACCACCATAGGCCCTGCTGACATTTTTGTTTGTTTTTTGTTTCAGACAACCTAGTAAGAACTTTAGGACTCAGCGTGAACACCTCAAGGACTATCTAGCACATACCACATGCAGATTTTGGTGCCTTCCCAACCTTTTTGTTACATAGGTAAATAATTCTATTACCAAGTTCAGGACAGACTAGTCAGAGGCTGTATGGTAGGAAAGCCTACCACAGTATGTTAAATACTGGACCATTCTGCCTCTAGACAGCGTGCCCAGACGAGCAGGTATGTATATTTTTACAACCACCAGTTGGAGTAATTTAAATCCAGTAGAACCTCCATAGTTGATTACCTCCACTTTTTTTGGTTGAGCTTCCGGGCCTCAGTCTCCCAAGTAAATACCACGAGCCACTGCACCTCACAAATGTTTTTTTAAAAAAATTCTTTTACAGGTAGTGTCTCTCTCTCTCTGTTGCCCAGGCTAATCTTAAACTCCTGGCTTCAAGTCATTCTTCTGCCTTAGCCTCCCAAAATGCTGGGATTACAGGCTTGAGCTCCCTCAACCGACTCATATTTCTGTTAAATTGTTCAGGATTTTAAGAATTTTTTTTTTTTTTTTTTTTTTTTTAGAGACAGAGTCTCACTTTCTTGCTCTTCGTACAGTGCTGTGGCATCACAGCTTACAGCACCCTCTAGCTCCTGGGCTTTGGTGATTCTCCTGCCTCAGCCTCCTGAGCAGCTGGGACTACAGCACTCACCTGTACACCTGGCTGTTTTTTTGTTACAGTTCAGCTGGGGCTGGGTTTGAACCCAACACCCTCGGTATATGGGGCCGGCACCCTACACACTGAGTCATAGGCACCGCCCCATTTTAAGAATTTTTGCACACTCCAGGATGCCGTGGCAAGCAGACTGCTTGAGCTCAGGAGTTCAAAGACTAGCCTGAGCAACAGCAAGACACTATCTTCTTCTAAAAAACAGACAGGTGTTGTGGCAGGCGCCTGCAGTCCCAGCTACTCGGGAGACAGAATCATTTGAGCCCAAGAATGAGGTTGCTGTGAGCTATGAAGCCATATCACTCAACACAGGGAGACTGAGCGAGACCCTGTCTCCAAAAAAAAAAAAAAGGGAAGAAAAATTTTTGCAAAGAACATGTAATATTTATTTCAATTAAAATTAAAACTTAGTGGCTCAGCACCTGTGGCTCAAGCAGCTAAGGTGCCAGCCACATACACCTAAGGTGGTGGGTTCGAATCCAGCCCGGGCCCACCACACAACAATGACGGCTGCAACCAAAAAATAGCCAGGTATTGTGGCAGATGCCTGTGGTCCCAGCTACTTGGAAGGCTAAGGCAGGAGATTCACTTGAGCCCAGGAATTGGAGGTTGCTGGGAGCTGTGATGCCACGGCACTCTACCCAGGGGAGACAGCTTGAGGCTCTGTCTCAAAGAAAAAAAAAATTGAAAACTTAGGCTCGACTCCTGTGGCTCAGTGGTTAGGGTGCTGGCCACATACATCAGGGCTAGAGGGTTCAAACCCAACCTGGGCCTGCTAAACAACAATGACAACAAAAAACTATCCAGACATTGAAGTAGATGCCTATAGTCCCAGCTACTAGGGAGGCTGAGGCAAGAGAATCACTTAAGCCCAAAGAGTTTGAGACTACTGTGAGCTATGACACCACAGCACTCTATCAAGGGCTACATAGTGAGACTTTGTCTGATAAAATAAATAAATAAAATAAAAAATAAAATTGAAAAATTAATAGTGATAGTTACTGAAAATTATTTTCTGCCTCATAGTTGCCTCTATATATAGAAGAATTCACTTCTAAGACCTCTTTCCTTTTCAGGTCTAGCCCAGTTTTTTTCATGGGCCTCTGTATTGTCTGTTGCCAAATCCAAAACTCAAAAGCAAAGAAAAATACTCTAAAGGAAACTTTCTAATGCCAGTCCTATCATTAAGTCTTACCTGAGCCAAACACTTAGGACACCTCCAGTCTCCCTTAGGAACATCATGGAGAGGTGGGATTAAGCAAAAAGTATGGTAACTATCATCACAGCCATCACACAAGAGAAGCCGGTCCTCATCATTGCCACTGCCACACAAAAGGCAGACATACAAGTCCACCTGTAGCAATAAAAATGGGTACAGAATAAAGGAACATGAGCTTTTGTAATATTCTAAGAATGAAATGAATTTTAGGCTTCGACTTCTATAAGTAATATATCTTAAATAAAAATGCTTTACTTTCTATAAGGAGATATTTCATGATACCTCATTCTAAGGTGTGATCTCTTAGCTTTCTTATTATGTTTCAAGTTTGTTATTTAAATATTGGGTTTTCTGTAGCTTAAAAACAGTATTCTAGAACAGTAAGATGGTAGGCAATAAATTAACAGCCAAACCAAAGTAAAATTTATGAAAGAAAAGGTTTATAGTTAATTAACCACATTAAACTACCAGTTTAAATTCCACTTAAGGAACCATTAAGTTTTCCAAATGCCCTATGATGAAGCATAGTTATTAGCTATTAAGGGCTGAAATGTACTCCCCCTAAAATTACTGCTCAAGACCTACCCAACCTTCAGTACCTAAGAAGACTGTCTGTGGTACTTTCCATGGGTGGTCCTAGCAAACTAATATATTACTCAATACCAGAATGAATTCATATAAACAGGGAATGTTAACTTGTTCTGTCTATTTATTGTATAAATAAAAACTGTACTTTTGGATGGGGTCTTGGTGTGTGCCACACCTTTTGGGGGCAAGACATGAGTTTAAGAGGGACTTTACCTAACAAATACAATCAGGGAAACTTGGTTTCTTGTACCCTCAGTGAATCCTCAACAATTAAAAAAAAAAAAAAACCCTATATTTTTTGGGGGGGGTATTATTTATAGACAGAACATTTGATTGGAATAGTTCTTTTTTAATTTCAGATTAATATGAGAATGCAAATGATGAGGTTACTATGTTTGCATTTAAGTAAAGTCCCTATTATAACTGTGTTAAGTTCTGCTTCTAAGATAAAAAGCATCCTTGTCAAACTCTTGGAAGAGGGCAGGGAAGAAAAGCAACCGGATCGTTTCTAAGGCTACCCAGATTTACTTTTTTTTTTTTTTT